TATAAATATATAAACTATGTTACATGCGTTATATGCGTCTCTAATTATTTTTCCCTAGCAAATTTCAATTGAACCTAAAGCCGCCACGTCAGTTTAATTGATATGCTAATTGATTGACAACTAAACAAGGTTACTTTTTAATTAATACAAACTTGAGGTTACATCTTTTCAAATGTTTCTCAATTAATATATAGGGGATATGTCTAAAGGTTACGTCCAAATAAATGTTTCTCTTTTAATAAGAGAGACAACATCAGTAATCCATTAACATAATGCTTTTGTTTAGATTGTCACTAGTAAGTACTAACCAATAAACTAAAGTATGTATTTCTCTCATCATTTTCATGAAAATTATTATGTTATTGTACTATTTAACAATCAACCAATAATAACACAAGATCTGACTCTTTTTTCTTGGAATAAATAAAGTAAATAACACACGATTTGACTATTTTTCGTACTTCCTCATCATGTGTTGAATTTTTTGTTTTGCTGTGTTGTTTCATATTCAGCCAATTGAAAAGGTTATTTCAAAACTTATACGAAAAAATTTCAATGATCCATCGTCATATGAATCACTGAGTCAACTTAAAAGATAAGGGATTAAAATAATTTAAGTGGTTTTAACAAATAGATTAGGAATCAGTGTCACTCTCAGACATTTATGTAAGAAACCAATGAATCTAGACAGCTTGGGAAGCAGTATTCACTAGGATAAGACCTGCGCAAGGGTGAATATATATAATTAAAATATAAAATTTTAATATTCACAAATTTAAAATTTACATATGATTGTTTTTGTATGTATTTGAAATTTTAGAATTTTGGAATTTTTATATAATTATCTATACGTATGATCAAAAACAATTTTAATTAGAAATATAAATCAAATCTTAGAATTTAATGGATCTGATTTCATATATCTTTTTACTTTTCAGTGTTCGAGTGATGGAAAATAAATGGAGTGTCACTGGGCTTGATTGGTAGAGTATAGCAAGTTCCCTAATGTTTTTAAAGAAGCAATTGGTAAAATATTTGCAATTAAAATA